CACGTCTGGTAGGAATGCAGGACATCTCTCGAGAAGTCAGTGAGCATGCAAGCTGACTCGCTGGTTTTGATGGCCGTGCCACAACGACATATAGCTTATAGTTATAGTCGTGTGATCATGCGAGGCATCGGAGGCATGCACGTGCAAGTTCACGTTGCCTCTGGTGTCCTCTGTTTCGGAAAGCTTCGACGCCGTGCAGACTACTTTACAAGAAGCAAGAAACAATCTGGCTGCATCTAGCTTTGTGTCCAATCTGGCACGCTCCATCCGTTCGCAGGGTGTGTGCGTTATGCTCAGCCGAGCCCTGAGACATGCTGAGTTTGTGGCAGACTGCGGTCATTACCCAGGTGTGCCTGTGCAAGTCACGTGTCACGATGCTCTCGGCATTCGGCATGCTCCAATTTCAAAACGTTAGGTTGTTCGTGCCGAGGCAAAGAATTCAGGGAGATGTCGAAATTCGAGGATGGCTTGGACATTGTTCCTCGTCCGAGTCGTAGCCGCAGCCGTGCAAGCAACTTCAGATGGCTGAACCTGCCTGCAATCCTGGAAGAGTTTGTTCTCCTGGTGCACCGTAAGCAAATAACATGCCTCCATGCAGACAACCTGTCTTACAGTCATCAAGACTCGCTAGCAGTCACTAGCAACGGAGCAGAGTCGAGTGGTGCAGCAATCACCCCAGCGAAGGCGAAGGCGGTTACCCTGAAGCCTGGTCACAGCCAGCAAAGCCCAGGCCACTGTTTCAGGGTACGTGCCCGGCACCGGTCGACGGCACTGGTGCCTACCTGCAGGAAGCTCAGCCACCAGCGAGTTTGTCTCGAGCTGGGAGAAGGTTTGTAATGTCAAGCCCTTACAACGTGATGCAGGCAGTGTCCGCTGCTACTCCAAACTCTACTTAAGATGCGTCATATGCAGGATACTGTGCTGATCTCTCCAGCAGCAAGTATAGTCGACCACAGCATAGCCTACTGAGCACTGCCGCGGGCACCGGCAATTGTTGTAAGGCTTCGTGAGGTTGACGACTGTTTTCACAGCGACATGCGGGCATGCTCTGATGGTTGTAGACGCGAGTAAGGGTCGATCTTGGTTCCGGGCCACGCTGACCACGGGAGCTCCCAAGGGAGCACAGGCTCCCAAGCACGACCACTATGTTGCTCAAGTAAGGTAGTCTCAGTTGGACCAGGCAAGTACATAAACCGTTCGGAAGTTTCAGCCGGATCCGAAATAGCGAATGTGGAGTAAGCAGAAGATCTCAGAAGGTGTGGGCCTTTGCGGCCGCTGTCGAGCGGGATCCATCCAACATGGAAGCTGGGTTGCATTGCGAGATAGTGCGAGGTAGGCGAAGGCGAAGATTGGTGCCTTCAAAATGGCTGTGGGAGTTACCCGAGCCCAAGGAGGATCTGAGCCTTGACTGCCGCCGGACCAACAGTATCAGGGCTGCAAGAGTTCAGGGGCCTCCACGCGCCGCTTTTGCCGTGAGACCCTGAACTGATTCAGCCTCCAAATCTCAGGTTATGTCCGCGACATCCTGAGGCACTCTCTCCCTGTACGTTCCTGCCACCTTTGAGGATGAAGCAAGCTGTAGGTAACCGTTGCTGCACACTGCTTGGAGGCAGAATTTCCTGCTTCAGGGCCCTTCCAAGACCTACCAAACTGGGCCAGCGGCGAAGATGCTGGAAGTGAGCTGGCAGCAGCGCAGCATCCCGAGCAGCTGTGTTCCCGCTTCCGGCCCAGGATCGTTGCACTCCAGCCGGGATCTCAAACATGACCAGCAAGCACCGCCAGCTGTGGATAAACTCTTTCCTAATCGATCCGAGGAAGGCATCCGGCTGCATGAGCAAAAGAGGCGCGAGAGAGAAAAGTGGTGCCGCGGCTGCAGGTCACTGACTGGCACGACTCACAGAACAGTTCTCGGTGACAGGAATCATGAATGCAGTCTGTGACCGTAGCACTTAAGCAGTTTACTTACGGTGGCTACCGACCCTTGCCTTCGGAAAGCTGTCAGGATAGAGCACGAAAAGCGATGCCTCGCGGCAGCACTTCTAGCCAAATGCACCAAGGTGCTGATCTGCTTCTTTAGCAGAAACTTTCCGGAGGTGTATCGTCCGGCACTACATACTGACTGCAGGCGGATGTCGACGCTGGCTAGAAAGGTGGTACCATAAATGCGAGGAGGGTTCCACCGTAGCTTAGGCTTGGATAAGAAGTACAAGATCGGGAAGCAGGATATCGTTGGTTGGTGGGACGAAGATGAGCACACATGCTATGCGCCTACTCTGCAGAAAAGCAGTAGCAATGCTGGGAGATTAAGATCGAGCTTCTTCGACTCGTTGATAATGCTTGATTTTTCGTAAGAGCGATTGGCTATCGGAGCCCGAGGAAGGTTTCTACGACCACAACGGCATTTGGGTCCTTACCTCAGTCAGCCGTCATCTCCATGCGTTGATGTGATTCCTTGTTGAACCTCCAAGCCCTTTACCGTCCCACCGCCCGAGGATGCATCACCTAGGTTGCTGGCTACAATAAAATCGCCAGTAGTCTGCTTGTCGTATGGGCATATTGGAGAGGAGAGACTGTTGAGTCTAACTCTGGTCGGAGTCTGTCGCTCCCGCGCTCCTTCAAACCCACCTTGCTTGCCAGAATCCGTACTACATGGCCGGAGGCCAGGGGCTGGGGCGAGAGCTTGGGACGGAGGGTCTTGGATACTGCACGTGTACCCCGCAGACTCTTGCTGGGTTCAGATCACCTGGCTTGTGCAGGCTTCAGTTGCTAAACCGGGGCTTAAAGTCTAGTCGAGAAAATATTCAGATCGTCCCCAGAAATGGAGGTAGATCTCCTAGATTGAATGCTCCAGTCAGTTGCGCTTGAATCGCGACTGTCAGGCCGCAACCTGTGGGGACAACATAGGGTGCATGTACTGCTGCTGTAGCATTCGAACATCTTAAAACCCACATGAGGCTAATCCCAACAACCCTGAACCGCATCCGGAACACGTCCTAGCAGAATCCCCCGGCCCTCCCGTCTCTGACGGGGATGGTTCGCTCAGACTGCCGTCCTAATCATCGCTGAAAACCATTGCCTGCAGAATGGAAGAGATGGTGCACAACTATGTGACACTGACGGGGCCGAGTTTTTTGTACACCAGCAATGCTGTACAAAGCAGAGGGGTCACGTGCTTGGTAGCATCCTGTTTCCAAAGACAACAGGCAGTTCCAATCATCCCCTGGCTCCTGCCAGCTGGCTGAGAAGCAAAAGAAGCGCCAAGATCATCGCCGTTGCTGTTCATGGATCCGAAAGGTCTGCCCTGTTGATTTGCGTTGGGTGTTGCTCCCGAGGATGAGAGCATTGCCAGCAAGCTGGTCTCCGAGCCTTTCGGCAGCAGTTCAGGGTGGGTGCAGGCCCAGCAGCTCTAGTGAGGGTTCATGAGCCGAGAGACCTCGTGTTGTGTGGTTCACGTCATCACAGCGCCGCGACTGCAAGATGCGAGTGGATAGTGCGACAGCCCAGGCTCGAAGGCAAGACGGTGCACGAGGCCTCTTGTGCGGGAGTTGGGTGTGCTCGGGCATCCTTTTGTTCCGGTCTTGTGCGCAATTGAACGTCCGCTTTCACTTCCGATCGTTTGCCGAAATTAAGGTCGTGGCTGAGGGAAAGGAGAAGCTGAAGGTTCAGCCTGCGGATGGGTCAGGGATGAACAGCTGGAGCAGCCGCAAGTAAAGCACTCGTAGCTGCGCCAAAGCTGATGCCATAGAGTCAGATTAAGTGCTTGCACCATGCCTGGAATCTCCATGGGCTCCAAAGAACCATCCCACAGTCGAATCATTACGCAGAGGACCACGGTGACTCATCCGATTCCGATTCTTCGCTTTTTAGGGTAGGAGGTGCCTGCAAGATGTGATCTGATGTGATGTGCCGTGCACTTTTGAGGGCTTTGGCGGCGGTGGCGGCGGCGGCCCTGCAATTGGCGGCGGCGGCGGTGCCGCTGCGCCCGCGGCGGAGGCGAAGAAGGAGCCCTCCGCTGCTGCACTAGCTTCGCCTCAGCCACTGGTAGTCAACAAATCCGACTTATCCGACTTTCTAGCTCAGACAGACCGCTTCGATAGAGGGGT